TTTTTTTTTCCCTTTTATTTCGATATTACTTAGTGTAAAATTTTTTTAATAATTCTATTTTATTTTCATGTTTACGTTGCGTAACGAATACTCTTAGTTTATTCATTCATGGGGGGATTTTTTAAAATTTAAAGTATTTTTTGTAACAATATAATGCTAATAACGAGGCACATGTTTATTAACATTTCATCCTCGTTCAGATGGCTATGCAACTATTATTGGTATATTTAAAAATTATTCAAATAACTCAAGTTATTTTACGCTGGATTGACAAAGTGCTATTATTAACACTTTAAAAGAGGATCACACCTTTTATAACCTCATTAACAATCATATAAAATGTAGCTAAATAATTATAAGACTATTAAAAATCAGAGAAATTAAACTAAACTTTTTTCTGGATGATTTTTTAATCAACAAATTGATGAAGTGGGATGTCGCAGCACAAGATCTCGTCAAGAACAAAGTTTCTCTGCGTTCCTTTTTTGGAAAACAATACGTAAATAAGACTAATATATAAACCAAAGATTATCTGCGACTCCTGTTATTTTCAACCGAATTTCATTATTAACATTTTCATGGCCATTTCTGCTCACGCAGCTTGCATATCAAATACATGAATTTATTATGTATTTGCTCAATAATACATAATTGGTGAATAATATTTTCCCCTTACGTACATATACTCATAAAAAGAAGCAGAATCGTTTGCAACTACGCAACGATAATTTTATTACCCAACCCCTTAAACATTTATAAATTAGCATAAAAACTTGAGCTTTTAAAAAAATACCTTTCATTTTTCGTTACTTCAACGTCAGCCAAGTTTTACTTTCACTTGAGCCTTGAAGCTTTGTTATAAACATATGTTACATTTAATCACTGCGTGGTCAGAGTTTCGGTAGCCTAGTTGGTTACGCCGCTGAGCGAATTTTTTGCCTCGACAATCTTGGGGTTCAATTCTCACTCAAGGCATAACAACTTTTTTTTTCTTTCGAAATTTTTTCATCATACAAGTATGTAATTTTTTTGACTATAGTATTTATTTACGTTTCATACATACAATCCGTAATAAATACTTACTTGTTCGTCACATCTTTTATCAACTTACAAATATGCAAAAGTTAAGTATAAGATTTATTTTAGTAAAAAGAGGTATAATATAAACAATGTTAAGTACCAAGTTACAGTGAAATTTATGCATCAAAACATTTTTGACCGTATTCATTGTTTACTGTGTTTAACTGTCACACCACCCAGGAGGTACCGTTATTAAGCGTTGTTCGAAGAAGTGATACTTATTCTTTATTTTTACATAGAAGATCACACAAAAGATAATTAATACATAAGTTCGTTCGTTAACATAATTTTACTTGTGAACATTCTTATTTAACGGGACTTTTTTCTTCTCGAAACAACTTACTCGGTGCGTTGTGTTTTTTTTTTTCTTACTTAAAGCCTATGTACAAATAACAAACATAAATTTATTTATTTACCACACGCCAGAATACTACTTATGAAAGTAAGTAGTTTATTTTCTTTCCTACTAAATGTTTGAAGTAAAAATCGTAGAACACCTCGCCAGTAGCCATACTGTAACCACGCTAGTACTTAACACAATTACAAATTTCGCATTCATATGTACAGCTGTAGAATGACTTCTGAGTTTGAAATATTTCAGGAATAAAATTAGAAAATCGGAAAAACTATTTATAAAGCAGCCAAATCTTTTATTTAAAACCTTAAAACAGCGATGGTTGGTTGCGTATGACATAAAATACGTCGCAAAACATGATGATGTTTTCAAGCACAATCTGCAATTTTAATACTAATGTTTTTTAAAAATTACATTTATTCAAGTAGGCACTCATTCTATCTAATTAAAAATACCCTACAGTGTATTGCAGACATTGTTAATTATCATAAAACCAATGAATAAAACAAATATAGTTCTAAAAACCGACGGAGCTGGTGGTTTTTTACAAATTTCTTATTATACGCGGTACTCTAAAATAATTTTAAGTTTTAACTTTGGGTGTTTATCATTAAATATCAAGAACAATGGTTCCACTAAAAATAATAGATACTATTAGCCAAAATAATAGATACTCATCATGTTTTGCGACTTATATGATATCATTGGCAACCAACCAACGCTGTTTTAAGGTATTCATAAGAGATTTGGCTGCTTTAAAAGTAGTTTTTCCAATTTTCTAATTTAGTTCCTGGAACGTTCGAACTTCAGAGTCATAAATAATTAATAATATTGAATGAACATACAATTATAATACTATTTTCCAATATTTACAATTTTTTTTTGCCAAATTACCTAACATTTTCTAGCCAGTGTTGTAGAATACAATAAATACATAAATATATTGGATGATAGTCGATGCAACTCAAGTGTGTATAATATGCGACCACGATGATTTTATCCAAATTTATGATATGAATTACAATAAAATACTTTTTCGGCATTAGCGCTAGTACCTAATATTTTACAAACGTTTATATAACAATAACTAATTGATAAGTATCTATACATTTATTTAGAATCATGGGACTTATGAACGACAATACTTAATTGGAAATGATCAGTTTTTTATCGTGCCCTCTGCGGTTGATTTGTATTAAGTTGAGATAGTTTTGCGT